ATTGGTCACTGTTTTTCGTTAATAACTCGTTAACGGTGCCTCGGAGAAAATTTTTGTAAAGGAAAAAGTTGCTTCCAATGGCCCGAGGAACCCGCCACTTTCGGATTGCGAGACATTTTTGGGACACCCTGTATATACAGACAGAATATACAGTATCAGACTCTGTACAGTACACATCAGACTCTGCCGTCCAGAGAAATAGCCTCGCGCAGAATTCAGCCGTACCTAAAAGGTTAAACAATCTCAATAATTGTTCATGCCGGCAGCTTACTGAAACCTTCCTACGACCGACAAATCGATGTATTAACCTCGTCGATAGCCGAGATCATTTGGCGGTGCGCCGGCGGTTTCGTCGCAACGAGCTCCGGTTCCTCGGCGAATCAAAATATCAGCGGAAACGCGAACGTTCCGAGAGCTATCGTTGTCCTGCCCCAAGAAACAGCCTACTTGCAACATAGCGTGCAATATTTCCAAGATGGACTGACGGAAACAGTGAGTAAAAGAAGCCAAACAAGAATTGCGTACTTGCTCGAGTGATCGTTGGGTCTGGGAACGAAATTTTGCGAAATTTTGTAAATTTTCTTAACTGAAGCTCAGCATGGGAACAAAAATTGACAATTTGCGAAGAGCGAGGATTAATCGTTTACGATTATTTATTTATGATTAATCGGGCCTTGCGGCTCGTTTTTATAGTTATTAATTGCCAACAACTATAAAAAATATAATAATATAATAATATAATAATATAATAATATAATAATATAATAATATAATAATATAATAATATAATAATATATAACCTCGAATAATCGTATCTACTCTTCCAAAATTGTCCATTCTTGTGCACAATCTGAGCGCGAATTAGGAAGAATTTACTGAAAATCGTGACCCCTTCTTCTTAAATTTATTAATTGTTACTTCGCAAGCAATTAGTGAAACTCCAATAAGGCGAGGGAAAGTTTCGAATACAAATTAAAGTTACAATTGATCAATTGTGACGAATTCATTCGTACACTTGTATACACGTGGCACCGTTTCAAATAAAATCTTAAACGACACTTCACGAGCAATTAACCACGAAAAGTGAAATGTCTGAAGAGTCGAGGGCCCTTAAAAGTTCAAATTAATTAAACCTGTTGATATCGCGTAGCGATGAACGGTCACTTGAACTGTACAAAATATCAGCAACACGAACGATTAACGATCCAGGAGCACGATTAACCCAGTTGGTGTTTTCATTTTCATAGCTTCATTTGTTCGAATTCGAGTCTCTCGACGATCTCGAGATATTCATCAAGAGATACTTGTATCTGGTAAGTATTTTATACTCCTTTAACAAACGTTCCATTCTTAATGTGTCTTTCGTTGGATTTAGTTCCAAGACGAGGGTGGTCCCGGTGCCAAGTTGCTCTTGTACAGTGCCGTTCTTTCCAGAGGTCTCTCTAAGTGAGTACAACTTGAATACTGAATGTGCCATTGAGATAATCTCGCCACAGAATCATCGATATGACTATATCATCAACGCGACAAGTGTTTATATATAAATCTACTTTGAAATCTCTATCGTTTTTGTCGTCATCGATCAACTCTGAACTACGGCAAAGGGTTAACCCTTTGCCGTCGAAACTAGTTTAATTCGAAATTATGGCAAGTACAATAATCGCGATTTTAACAGTTTTTTAAGCATAGGCATAAGTCACTTTGTTTTTAAGTCGTAATAATCGTTAATAAGGGTTTGCGTTTTAACACGTTTGAAAATATGGATGCTAACTTTCGAGAAGATTTACTTGTATTTGTTATCTCAGGATACCGATAATTTTCTCAGTATAAATAATTTCGTATAAACATTAAAGAATCACCACTTTTCATTACGCTAAAGTGACTTATGCCACTTTCAAAATAAATAGTTTAGAAAAATGACTGACATATATTAATTTTGTCCGACGTGTTTTACCGAAGTGATGTTTTGAAAGGACAGTGATTTACTAAAATTGTTGAATAAATTACATATATAATAATAATTTATACCATGAACATATTTAATATAACGGTTTGATTTAAGTATTTTTTATTTTAATATTCATAAAATACAAAAATAATTAGTACATTTTTAAACATAAGTATAAGTAATTTATATGAAAATACATCGGTTCAATTTAATTTTCGGCATCAATAGGAGTGATTAGGTCCTCGGAAATCGTGTTTTGTTTCAAATTTTTTAAAT